TTTGCCACCAGAGATGCAATATTTTAAATACTGTCAGAAAGATTGACTTTTAAATATATATATTTCAGATTTTCAGCTCTAACGGACTGCATATATACAGTTCATTTACTTTTAATAAATTGGCAATTGATATTTTATTGAATGGGGAATTAAGAATATAAACTGTAAATTTTGTCTTACATTGATTTTTTTTCTTGGTCATTATTTTTATGACTTAAGGTATGAGTTATATTTTAGGAGATACTTTCCAGACAGTTTGGAAGTTTGGGTGCTATATGAAGAAAAACATTTAAGGATATATCATACTTCAGATATTAACACCTCTTTTTCTTGAATGTAATTTATTTATTGGTTAAAAAAAAAAAACTTTTCTGCTCTCAAGATGGTGCCTGTTAACCTAAACATAAAATATATTTATTATTATTACATGCAAAATATTTCTTAGATAGCCACTTTTAAGCAGTAATGTTTTATCTGAGTGGATGTTCATTCATACATCCTGATGATTATTTAAATTGTTACTTAATCTCCTGGAAGAAAAAATAAATCTTAATATTGAAACTAAGTAGATTAAATAGTGTGGTATAAGCTTTTTGTCCTAGTGAAGTTTGTGAAATTTATTTCAATTCTTAATTTTTCTAGTGTCAAATCTTAAGTTTTTATAATTGACTTATTTTATACTAAATGTTTTCTATTTGGCAATTTAATGACTAATGTATTCAAAGTTGGCAGTAACTCCCCTTCTTTTCAATTCCTCCTTACCCAATCTGGAAGTCCCAAGCTAACTAGGGAAGTTAGTTACCAATTAGACCTGGTCCCTATTAAAAAGAACTCCCCCTTTTGGGTATATATATGTATATACATCCCCCCACACACATACATGCATGTGAATACTCACACATACATACATATTTTTTAATTAACACAATTACATATTTAGGAGGCACAGGGTTATTGGCATATTCATCATCTCAAACCTATCATTTCTTTGTGCTGTGAACATTCAAAATCCTCTCTTCTATACATTTTGAAATATATAATTATTGTCAATAATAGTTCCCTTTCCCTTTAAACAACAGCATTGTCAATTTTATTCTTCATCTTGTATCCTCTGTCACCCTCAAAGTTTCCTTTCCTTAAAGGAAAAAGGTCTACATTTTTTTTTCTCTATTTAAATTGGTAGCCAGCAGAGGGAGCTTATGAGGTACTCAAGATGAACTGTAGAATTTTCCTAAGAATTCTTTTTCTTTTAATACATATATATATACCTGCAGGTACTACTGCACTTATCTTGTATGCATTTTAAATAAAGGTTTCCCAAGAATGTAATGTGATTTTTATCTTTGAAACATACTATATGAAAGCGATTTTTATTTTGAGCAAGAAAATGTAAAACTGATTAACATGAGGTTCCTTATGAACATAAATATGTCCTCAGAAAAACAAGAACAACTTATGGAGAGTTATCTCTTTAAAGAATTATCATGTCATAGTCTATCCATTTAAAACTGAACACTATTAGAGAAAAGTTGTGTTAAAATACTCATTGAAAGGAAAAGGGAAGATAGAGACCTGAGCTTGCTGTATAGCAAATTATTTTACTTTAGATGCTCATGAGGTTATTTAAAAATAATGCTTATTTAAATATTTCTTTGGCAAAGATATAAACTAGGTTTTTGTTAGTGACAAAAGTCATTCTACCATTTTGTCTGAAAATTGTGTTTTCTGGTATATATATTTATAAATTTTGGTATAAAGCTAAAAAATTTAATTTGTCTAGATGTTTTTTTTTAAAGAAAATCCTTTTTTTTTTAAGAGAGGGAGGAGAGAAAGAATTTTAATATTTATTTTTTAGTTTTCCGCGGACACAACATCTTTGTGGTGCTGAGGATCGAACCCGTGCCGCACGCATGCTAGGCGAGCGCGCTATCGCTTGAGCCACATCCCCAGCCCCTGTCTAGATGTTTTGTAATAGCCCAGAAAATATTACTTTGCCCCTGGTGTTGGAAAAAACCTCTTGTGAAAGCAGATATCCTTAGAGCAAAATTATAGTCCTTTAATTACTCAATATAAAATTTGTTCTTCTGTAATATCTGTATGATTACATTCAGAATGTCCTGATGGTTCCATGATTAGATAAGGTCTGTTGAAAATGTTTATTTTTAAATGTAAGCAAGAATAAAAATAATATGGGAGAATTGGAGGGTAGGTTAAACCAAAAAATTTGTATGTTACCCCCCCAAGTTCCTAACTCCATAGTATTCTAAAATGTTTAGGGGAGCAGTTTAGCAACTTCAGTCTTGCAAATTATTTCTAAAGTAGTAATCATTGGAAGTGACCAAGCAGCTTGAGGCAGTTTATGTTCTAATGAGATAAAAATTGCAACTGTAGGGCGGGGATGTACCTTTTTAAGAGGTCTTGCTTAGCATATGTGAGGTCCTGAGTTTTCAGATCCTCAGCACCAAAAATAATAATAAAAAAAATTTACAATTACAAATGACTTAAAAAATTAATTCAAGTAAATTCTTAGTTCTTTAAATTTCAAAAATATTTAAGAAAAAGTCAACAACATCTGTGTTGCTTCCTAAAGGTAATTATTTCAGTGCTTTTTCCTAAGAATTTACATTACAAAATACTTGATTTCCTAAATTCTAGTAATTGTACTTGATTATCCAAATCTGATTATAAAAATAACTTTTATAATATATTTTATTTGTGACTTGTCTCAACCTGTGTGTTCATCTTAAATTTGAAGAACTTAAGCTCTTTGTATATTTATTATAAAAATATTAATAAAATTGATTCCTCTTTCAAAGAGCATTCTAGATGCAAGAAATCATACTGCTAGTTCCTGCTCCCTCACCCCGTGGAAACCAGGACTGCAAAGCGTGAACTTTACCACTGACCTGCTCAGCCTTTTGCCATGTTTTAATGGATTGTTTTTTGTTGTCGAGTTGTAGGAGTTCTCTTGGTCCTTACCAAATACATGATTTGCAATATGCTCTCCCATTCTGTGAGTGACCTTTTCACTTTGTTGAGTCTTCTGATGCAGAGAAATTTAAAATTTTGATTTATTCTATTCTAATTTATTTATTTTGTTGTTTGTGCTTTTGTTGTCATATACAAGACATAATTGTGAAATCCAGTGATATGAAGCTTTTTCCCATGTTGTCAAATTTAATGTATTCTTCCCTAAACTATTTAA